TCGCTGGAGGGGTCCCCCACCGAAGGGGGCAATGGGGGACCCCGCGCCAGCGTGGGGTTCTTCTGTAAGGTACGGCGGGGACGGCGCTGGGGACATTGGGGACATCGCTGGGGACGGTGGGGACATTGGTGGGGACATTGGTGACACCGGGGACGGCGCTGGGGACATTGGGGACATCGCTGGGGACGGTGGGGACATTGGTGGGGACACTGGGGACGGTGCTGGGGATGGTGGGGACATTGGTGGGGACACTGGGGACACCGGGGACGGCGCTGGGGACATTGGGGACATCGCTGGGGATGGTGGGGACATTGTTGCGGACACTGGGGACACCGGGGATGGCACTGGGGACATTGCTGGGGACATTGGGGACATTGCTGGGGATGGTGGGGACATTGGTGGGGACATTGGGGACACCGGGGACGGCACTGGGGACAGCGGGGACATTGCTGGGGACATTGGGGATGTTGGGGACATTGGTGGGGACGCTGGGGACACCAGGGATGGCGCTGGGGACAGCGGGGATGGCGCTGGGGACATTGGGGACATCGCTGGGGATGTTGGGGACATTGGTGGGGACATTGTGGACACCGGGGATGGCGTTGGGGACAGTGCTGGGGACACTGGGGACATCATTGGGGATGGTGGGGACATTGGTGGGGACACTGGGGACACCGGGGATGGCACTGGGGACATTGCTGGGGACATTGGTGGGGACATTGGGGACACCGGGGACGGTGCTGGGGACAGCGGGGAGGGCACAGAGGTGGCACTGGGGTGGCATTGGGGAGGGGGTGGTGGCATTGGGACAGACGACATGGTGGCATTGGGACAAGGGAGATGGTGGCATTGGGACAGGGGACATGGTGGCCCCAGGACAGGGGACACGATGGCACTGGGGTGACGACGATGGTGGCATTGGGACAGGGGACTTGGTGGCACTGGGGTGAGGGGGGTGGTGGCACTGGGACTGGGGAGGTGGTGGCACTGGGATGAGGGACAAGGTGGCACTGGGATGGCGGCAGTGGTGGCACAGGAACACAGAGGGGGT